CGGGCGGGCGGGGCAGACACGCACGCTAAGAATAACAATAATAAAGAATCTAGGTAATAGAGAATCTGTAGAATAATACAAATATTAGCTCGGAAACCGATACTCTGACAACGATGTATTCATCGCCCTGTAATTCAGCGTTTTCTCTGATCACAACTTCTGACCGGCCGGTCGATTCTTCGGAAGTCAAACATCGATGTTGGTGAAGTGCTACCTGCATAAACGATGGCCCCGGAACACATTAGTGTATTCCATATTACACTAATGTAGATTTGGAAAACTCTTCGGAGCTCATTTAGAAGCAAAATTTGTTTTCTGGTGTATTATACGTTAAAGTTTTAATACGCGTTTAAGCTTGCATACAAAAAACACTGACACATGAACGTATGATGAGGATATGCCGTGTTTCACACACAATTCTCTAGACATCGATCGTGTGAAGTGCATCCTTTAGGTGATTCACACCCCTCTCCCAGCTTCAGTTACCTCGCGCCTCCCCCCTCTCCCTACTCGTTTTAGAGGGGAGCCGGCGCAGCGCAGGGCGGCGGTGAGGTACTCACAGTGGCTCCCGTGGTGGTGGCGGTGGCGCACGTACGGGTTGAGCAGCCCGCAGATGTCCATCGACGAGGTCATCATCTTGCGTGGATGCGCCGTGGCGGCGGCGGGCAAGGGGACAGATGGGCGTGGACACGCCGCGCGCGGGCGGGCGGGTGGCGGGCCGCGGGACAGGGCGCGGGCGAGGGTGTGGGCGTGGGCGACACGCCCGCGGATGAACGGGAGCGCACGCGCGCTGCGGCAGTGCCTTCAATGGGCGGTGGCGGCGGCGGCGGCGATGACCAGGGCGGAGCTGGAGCCTAGTCACGTGCGAGGAGGAGGAGGGCGAGGCGAGGCGCTCTCTTGAACCCAGGCCCTCCGACGCACCCTGCTCTCGCTTTTCCGGAGCTCGCCCGTGCGGCGCGATCCGTGACGTCACGCAATGACGAAACGGAACTAGATGATGTAACAGTATCGATTGTCTACTTCACAAGAAATTGTGAGTCACTTTTTTTTCTTCAACGCGTCTGATTTGAACACTATTTTTGATTTGTGGTTTGTATTTTTTTTAAATTCTATTTTAGCTTTTCCTGATGAGAAGCGAGTACCTGAAGGAGATTGATTGTCTCTGGTGTCTGATTGAACGACGCGTTAAAATTTATTTACAAACTAAATGTTCCACAAACAAACAACATTAATTTATTCTAAATATTATGCTAGTTATCATTGACACCTAAGATTACATTGAGAACTATCTAAGGTATGATTAAATATGAAGCAGACAAATACATCAATACAGAAGGCAGTCAGAAACATGTTGCCACGATGCAGAAAGAACACACCTACACTACGAATACGCACGCAGTTTACAATACACAACAAACTGGGACAAACCACTCGAAGCACAACAAATACGACTCTACGGCACGTGTTTATATATACAAGCTACTGGCTACGTCTATAATCGGCTACGTCGATGTCTGTCGCCACACACAAAAACACGCCGCTTTCGCCCACGAAGACAAAAATCTGGGACACGATTCACCACCACCGATCGACGAAGGGTTGGTGATTCAACCGCATGGGCAGGACCACACAGCACGACAAACACACACACACACACACGGGCACGCGGTGAGGATCGAGCCGGCCACGCACGAGGACGCGGTGCGTGCACGCACGAACGCAGGTGACGCAGGCAGTGTGGTGCGGCGCGGAGCGGCGTGGCGTGGCGCGGCACGGCACGGAGCGGACACCCGTTGCGTCTGACACCCGACGGAGCACTGGCGCGGCCGCCACTGCGCCGGAGGGGAG